TCTATTTATAATATGACTCTCATGGATTCATTCTTAAATACAACCGCATTCAGTGTTGTACAACCAATAAATAATCTGGTCGTATGTAAGCGTGTATTCGGCTTAAGCTAGTGCTTCAGAAAGCTACATTCCAAGTGTATTTAAGTAAACGAATGGACAATCTTGCACTAGCTAAGCTGCAGATCAGTTTGGAGAGAAAAATCATCGCGCAATTTACAGGCCATCGGTAACTGCACTCACCTGTACTTGAGTTTCATCAATGACTTCACGGTATATTTGTTCTTCGGCAGCTTTGGGTACAAATACGTGGATTCGCTTCCGACCACACTTCTCCTTTTTGACCACCCCCGTGATATCGAGGACATCGTCTATCAGTTGATTCATCTTGAGTGTACTATGGTTATACTATACTGATATATGTATATATGGCTTGTACTCCCGTCCAGTATGTGCTCACATACTTCTAGCTCGTATATGTTCGTGCTGGAGCTTCCACAGCAGCGATTCCTTGAAAGTTAACTTGGCGACCGAGAACAATTTCTTAACGTTGGCGCTAGGACAATACAAATAGCTGTTAGTTGAAACCTGCGTCTAGCACAACAGTGATGTGTGACAGTGATATGTATTATGTATGTACTGGAATTCGATACAATGTTGACAACATTGAATGTTGGTGTTAAATAATATAGAAATACAGACATACTTGTAATAGTAATAGAACAAAATCAAGATTGCTTGATAATAAATAGATTGTCGTTTTTAAACAAGAACGCGCCAAAAGTCTATATTTCCATACGCGGCCATTTAACAGACATCCAATGAATATGCTGAGCACCTGTAAAATATTATAGTCACAAGTCCACAACCCCCTCCTGCCACAGTCAGGCCGGACATGCCTTCATCACTTCATTCATTGACATGACCATTCATGACGCCGAGGAGTATTTGAACGTTCACAGTCGTATATTAGTTTACAAAGTTCCTACACGGTGAGAAACATTGAAGCATATATTTATTTACCATGAGTACTGATATATATATCATTAATACATAGATGCATAGACGCACATACCAAATAATTAAACACATAGAAACGGACTAAATACATAGATAGATAGATATACATGTCTCCACGCATCCTACCCACAGTCTTTGTCGGGCCGGTGACCGCCTCTATGGGAGTCCACACATTCGTTGGCGCCTCAAATGTTGGTAGTACGACTACCTCGGACACACTTTCAACACCCACAACCGTAACATCAGCCACACACCACGCTGAGCCTTCACGACCAGATGCACTGACATTAGACATCCCATACACGGTCACAGCGACACGTGTTAATGTTGCTGATTCGGTCCCTACACACACGGGCGTTACCCATGGCGAACAGATACTGTCGTCATGCACGGGTGCGATGCTGACATCTCTGTTAATGACACCGTTTGACGTCGTGAAAGTGCGTATGCAGACGCAGAGCATGGCCCCTGGACAGGAGTGTCGCGTTGTGTTTAGCAATGGTCTCATGGATCACCTGTGTACTGTATGTAATAAGCCATCTAGCTGTCACAATAATGGCGTATACTACAAAAGCACACTTGATGCGTTTGTGCAGATTCCCAAGCGAGAGGGTATTTCATCGCTATGGAGAGGTCTGGCACCCACACTTGTGATGGCCATACCGGCGACAGTGATATACTTCACAGCCTATGATCACCTCAAAGCACGTGTTGAGGCGTATGCTCGCAGCGGCAGCGTACAGTTGGATTCACTCACAACACCTTACACAAATGTGAGACGGCGGAGTTCGGATTTATCGAATGTTTCTTTGGCATTTGGTGACTCTGTTGAGATCGAGGTGACAGGCCCGGATACAAGTAGTAATAATGCAACAGCTCATATAGTCGAGAACAGTGTAGAGGTGAAACACCAGTGGTTGCTGGCTCTGGCGCCCTTAATAGCCGGGATGACGGCGCGGTTTGGAGCGTCTACGATTATAAGCCCCTTAGAGCTACTCAGGACGAAGTCGCAGTCAATAGCACTGAATAGCAGTGCCGAACAAGTATCTCACACACAGCTTCTGCAAGATGTCCGTGGTATGGTCAAAACACATGGTCTGCGCACATTATGGCGAGGTTTAGGCTCAACTCTATGGCGTGATTTGCCCTTCTCGGCGATATACTGGACATCGTATGAGTACTTCAAGCACCACCCTACGATAAACCGTCTATTTCGAACGGATGCACATATGCACGAGCATACACTCGAGACCACCTCTACGTACGATAACTTCCGTACGTCGTTTGTGTCTGGTGCGTGTGCGGGGACTTTAGCGGCCGTCGCTACGACCCCGTTCGATGTGGTCAAGACATATCAGCAAGTGGATTTGACAGGTCTTAGGCAGAGATCCGGGTGGGAAGTGGCAAAAGATATATATGTAAGAAGTGGTACCAACGGGCTGTTTGCAGGTACTTATCTTTGGTTGTGGGACGCTGCTTTTCAGTCACACGTTGAAGTAATGTCTTGAACATTGTGGGCGGACAGGACTGGTTTGGTACCATCACTTTATATATATATATATATTATATATATATATGTGTGTGTGTGTGTATGTGTTTAGGTGTTTATGTGTAGGTAATCATATATATATATCTATATATATGTACATTTTTAATTCAATTTTCATCTGTTCTTTATATTTATATTTATACATTCTGAATTTATATATATATATATATGTGTGTGTGTGTATGTATGTATGTATGTATATATATATATACATATATGTGTGTATGTGTG